AGTTTGAACTCGAGATTTGTGGTTCAAATTCACCAGCTGCTCCTTGGACACCCTATATAGGGTCACCATGAATCAGAACTGACTCGACGACATTTAACAATAACAAAAATAACTAATGATATTGTGCATCGTTCTATTTGTATATCTTGGGAGAAATGCTTATTCAAATCTTTTGACCATTTTTAAATTGGTTTATTTGTCCTTTTGTTGTTGAGTCCTGTTGTTGTTGTTGTTGAGTGCTATCAAGTCAGCTCCAACTTATAGCAACCCTGGATAGGGTTTCCAAGGAGCGATTGGGAACTTGAACCGCCTACCTTGCAGTTCAGTGCATTAACCCGCAGCACTACACTGGGACTCCTGTTGAGTCCTAGAGTTCTTTATATATTCAGCATCAGCCAGTCAGCCTTCACCCTGGGCAGTTCTGAGTCTTCTAGCTCTAAGGTCAGACATGCTGTCCTCTATATTCCTTCCTGAGTCACCTCTCCACCCCCCATTTGCCTTGTTAGCTTTTCCAGCATCCTTTCTGATTGTTTCTCTTATGAAATACTCTCTACCGAATCTCTGGGCATGGGCTCAATTTTTGTGACCAGACCCTGACCGGAGAAGCTGGGGTCAAGGGCACCCGTGATTGGTATATATCTCTGTGATGGTAGATAGTGTCCTGGCTGTCTGTTTTTTGCTTTGCAACACCATGGAAACCATCCTATCCCAAGCCCTAAGCAAAACTTGCTTAGATTATGATACTAGTGACCTAGTTGTTTATTATGTCTTCCTGTTCCTGCCAGTCTCGTTTCCTACAGCAGCCACAGTGAGTGAACCAGCGAGGGTGTATGTGTCTATGGTAACAGAAACTGGCTTTCTGATGAGCTGATAGAACAAGGGAATGTATTGCCTAGTTCAAAAAGCTTGGATCTACTGTTGGTAGATCCAGCGGCTCAGTGTCGCCATCATGCCATCAGAGAGCTGAGGTCTTGTTTGTTTTTTTCATCCCTTGCTGCCACCATCCATGAGTCATCTCTGTTTTCAGGCCAGTTCCCTCCAGGATGCTTACCTGCAGAAACTAGGCAACAATTTGTATTGTTCACATGTAATTAAACAAACACAACAACAATACAAAATAAGAGAAGAGAAAGAGATGTTTCTTTCTGGCAAGGAATACACAATCTCCTTTATCCTGATGGTGTCAATTTATGCCAGGAATTGTTCATTCAATGGATTGGACTGTGTCCCCCAAAATATGTCTTGCAAATAGATCCTAACCTCTATGTGTGGTCAGGGTGTGGCGTGGTATTGTAGGATAAGCACTGGACTGCGAATCATACGGTCAGCAGCTCAAACCCACCAGCTGCTCCTCAGTAACCTTATATAGAGTTACGATTAGTCACTATTATTGGCACCAAATTGCTGGCACTTAAGAACAACATGCCTGTGGTTATAATCCCATTTAAGAAAGGTTTGTCTGTTATTAATGAGACAGGATCAGTGCAGGGTGTCTTTTGAGCCAATCTCTGACCAAATATAAAAACCGGATTGGGACAGACAAGCAATCAGATAAGAGAGGAGAGAGATACCAAACCACATGAAGATGGCCCAAGAACAAAAGATTAATGAGACAAAGTCCTTCCCCAGAGCCATCAGAGAAAGAAAGGCCACATCTTGAACTCAGACTCTTAGCCCCTTAAATTGGGACAAAATCGATTTCTGTTTGTTAAAGCCACACACTTCTGGTAACATAGTGGTTACGAGTCGGGCTGCTAACCTCAAGATCAGCAGTTCGAAACTACCAGTGGTTTCGCAGAAGAAAGATGAGGCTTTCTGTATGCTGAGCAAATAATCCGAGAAGCTGGCTTATATGAAAAAAAAGTGGCATCAGGATCGGAGGAATACTCATTAACAACCTGCGATATGCAGATGATACAACCTTGTTTGCTGAAAGTGAAGAGGACTTACAGTATTTACTGATGAAGATCAAAGAGCACAGCTTTCAGTATGGATTACATCTCAATGTAAAGAAAACAAAAATCCTCACCACTGGACCAATAAACAACATTCTTATCAATGGAGAAAAGATTGAAGCTGTCAAGGACTTCATTCTTCTTGGATCAACTATCAACACTCATGGAAGCAGCAGTCAAGAAATCAGACGACATATTACATTAGGCAAATCTGTTGCACAAGACCTTTTTAAAGTATTGAAGAGCAAAGATGTCAGCTTGAGGCCTAAGGTGTGCCTGACCCAAGCCATGGTATTTTCAATGACCTCTTATGTATGTGAAAGTTGGACAGTGAATAAGGAAGATCGCAGAAGAATTGATGCTTTTGAGTTATGGTGTTGGAGAATATTGAAAGTGCCATGGGCTGCCAAAAGAACCAACAGATCTGTGTTGGAAGAAGGGCAGCCAGAGTGCTCCTTGGAGGCCAGGATGGCCAAACTTCTTCTCTCATACTTTGGACATATTGTCAGGAGGGACCAGTCACTGGAGAACGATATCATGTTTGGTAAGGTGGAGGGTCAGAGAAAAAGAGGAAGACCCCCACCCCCAATGAGATAGATTGGCCAAGTGGCAGCATCCATGGGCTCAAGCATGGCAACAATTGTGAGGTTGGCCTGGGATGGGGGAGTGTTTCATTCTGTTGTACATAGGGTCGCTATGAGTTGGTACTGACTCAGTGGCACCTAACAACAACAACAACAAATGATTTACAGCCTTGGAAACCCTATGCAGTGTCGCTATGAGTTGGAATTGACTCCACGGCACACCACCACCACCACCACCACCACCACCACTTGAGGTACTTCTGTTACAGTAGCAACAGCTAACTAAGCTACCTTTTCCCTCATTCTTAAGTCAATAATAGTTGTTATAGGAATTCTTTAGATTAGTTAGCGTGCCCCTTTGCTGTACAGGAAGGGATGAATTTCCAAAACAAGTCAATTTCTGTTGGAAATGAGTAAGGGAAATGGGCGATGTTCAGTTGCCTTTCTAAGAATTTAAATCAGACCCTATCGTTAAGATATCTAAAACCATTAGTTTTCAGTTACTCTTCAAGTTAGAAAATCTACAAGGGCAAAGAGAACCTCGCCTGCTCTATGCCTCTCATTCCCTGGCCATTTTCTGTCCACCCTTCACCTCCCCTCAACTGATGAGTGACCATCACCTTAAGAAAACTCCTAGTTCATCTCTGGATTTGTTCACTGGCTTTCCAGTCTACCTGGGGATTGTGTTCTGGTAGCTGACCACCCACTTCTCATGCTGAGTAGCTGACACCTACTGATAGGTTCTTGGATTGAATCCCATGTGAAGGTCAGTGTTGACACCAGGCAAAATTGTCTTTAGTCATTCATGCACCACCCTTTTCCTAATTTTACACTTATTTATAATGACTCTTTGCTCATGGGCCAAATGCAACCAAACCATCCCTCTTGTGAAAGACCCACTGCCGTCACGTCTATTTCAACTGAGAGCTACGGGGTGGTGCAGAGTAGATCTGCTCCCAGGGGTCCAGAGGCTATAAATCTTGACAGGAGCAGACAGCCTCAACTTTTTCCCATGGAATGACTGGTGGGTTTGAACTGATGACCTTGGGGTTAGCTGCCCAACATATAACCCACAGCACCACCAGGCTTCCATTCTCACTCTTGTTAAATGTTGTGAAGTCTGTTTCAACTCATAGAGACCCTTCATGGGTTTCCGAGGTTGTCAATCTTTATAGGAACAGAAAGACTAGTCTTGTGTCCTTAGAGTGGATGGTAGGCTCAAACCAGAGACCTTGGAGTTAGCCGGCCAGTGCTTCCCTTACAGTGCCACAGTGCTGTCCCCTTTCTTATTATAGAGGTACACCGTGTTCTGTCGTGTTTCTGTGTTCCCAACAAGTTGGTAAGAATTCAAACTCTTTATTTTCCAGAAAGGAGAAGGGAGCCTTGATAGACCTAAAAAGCCAGCCATGTCTGGGGATTGCACTAAATTATGTAAGATGTGACCACCAGGGAGCCTGGGTGAAGACCTCAGAGGAGGATCCCTCTGTTTTGCCTTTGCAACTTCCTGTAAGTCTATAATGATTTCAAAATAAAAAGGCAAAAAACCAAACCAAAGAAAATCAATCACTGAAGGTGGACTTGTATATACCCCACAGAATACTTTCGTATCTAGAGGGTCTCCAGTAGTGGTCTATGCTTTGTTACCAGAGTGAAGACCTGAGGTCAGAAAACAGGTGGAAGTGAGGGGAAAGAAAAAGAAACAATTGTCCTCACCCCAAGGTGTCTGCTCTGGGTGTAGCATCCCCCCCCTTTCCGCCCCCATAGCCACAAGACTGCCTTGGCTTCCTGTCTCAAAGGAGCACTAAGCTTGTACCCTATTCCTTAGCCCCCTTGTACCTCCTTTCTTCTTCCTCAGAGTGTTGCAACCTTCACTACTGTTGTTAGATGTGACCCCCATCCATGTGCAACAGAATGAAACACCACCCAGTCCTGCGCCAGCCTCACAATCATTGTTACATTTGAGCCTAATGTTGCTGCCACTATGTCGATCCATCCTGTTGGGGGTCTTCCTCTTTTTTGGGAACCCTCTACTTCACAAGCATGGTGTCCTTCTCCAGGGACTCACCACCTGTACCTTACTTTATTTTCTTTCTTTCTTTTGGTTTCTGTCTCCTTCCACTAGAAGGTGAGTTCCATGATGGCAAAAGATTTTATGTTTGTTTTTAATTGATTCCTGTATCTTCATTGCCTATAGTGTGCACCTGGTACATGTTTGTTGAATAAATGAATCTTTGTAGGAAATAAAAGTTTGGAATGAAGCTATTTCCCCGAGAGCTATGTTCTAGGTGGCCAGTCCTTAGACGAGAGCAAAGCTGGCTTTGAAGCTGATACGTTTTTCCTGTGCTCTTTCTTCAGATAAAAAGACCCAGCTGATACAATCTGAGCGGAAGCAAATGGTACTTCATATCACATTATCACAATCATCTGTTTTATAGAGCAGCCTCCCAACAGGCTTCCAGACATGGATTTTCTGGCTTTCCTTTTTGTTATTCTTCATGTATACAAAGGTAAAAAAAAAAAGAATCTTATGTCTTCACTTAAAAATCTACTCTTTTCTGGGTCTTATCGTGTAACATGTTCAGAATGTATGGAGGTGGTGGTGGTGTGCCGTGGAGTCGATTCCGACTCATAGTGACCCTGTATTGGGTTTCCAGGGCTATAAATCTTTGCAGGAGTGGAAAGCATCGTCTTTCTCCCACGGAACGCCTGGTAGTTTCAAACTTCTGACCTTTACATTAGCAGCCCGACTCGTAACCACTGTGCTACCAGAGCTCCTTTCAGAATGTATAGTGCTGTTTTATATAATTTCTCACTTGTCCTGAAAACTAAAAGTTCCAGGTGCCAGTTGTCAACAGTGGAACCCTTTTTAGATTAAGGTAGAAATTGCTAGTCTTTTGTTATTGTCTCAACCGACTATCTTTCATGGTCCTAGAAAGCTTACGGTATTTATTTGGTGTTTCATTCCTTAAATGTGATTGGACTAAGGTGATGCTGTGTTTTCCAGCTCTGTGTGAAGAAGTCTTTTGGGACACAACTGTTAAATTTGCCAAGAACATGACTCTAGAATGCGTGTATCCATCGACGGACACCTTAACCCAAATGGAATGGTTCAAGATCAATTCAACAAAGAAAGAGTCCATAGCGATTTTCAACCCTACATATGGTGCCCTCATCCGAGAGCCCTATGTTAATAGAGCCTACTTCTCCAATTCAAGCATGGAGCCCAATGATATGACCCTCTCCTTCGTTAATGCCTCTGAAGCAGACGTTGGCTTCTATTCCTGCTTTCTCTACACTTTCCCTTCAGGACCTTGGGAAAAGGTGCTAAGAGTGATTCAGTCAGGTAAGGGTGAGTTTCCTTTTCTTTCTCCCCACCTACCCACCTACAATCTGTTTCCGTAGAACTCTAGCAAAATCCAAAAGAAGAAACCTTAGCTGGTTGCTTGAGTCAAAAGCTCAAGTAGAAGCCACAAAATACTTGATCATATTTTTATAGCCTTTTCTAATTCTATGTATGGATTTCATGATATCACTGTCTTAAAAAGAAAATGATTCCATTTTCTTTCTGATGCTCTCATTTCTGAGAAGTGTGTCACAAATCTGAAAGTAACAGGAGGAAGCCTGGGTCTGTTGAGCCTAGATATAACCGATGATGGCAATGTGTGGGTACAGGAGCTAGGGACCTCTTCTCTTGGTGATAGATTCCAAGCAGTGCTATCCCATCCCCCTTTCTCTAGCATGCAGTGCTAACTCCAATGTCTGGATACTCAAAATATGGTTCCAAATCTAGAATTATTGATGAACCCTGGGCAGGGTCCCAACAGTTACTCACTTCTTCTCAACTCATTCACGTTCAGCTAGAGAGGTGGGAGGAATCATGGTGGGAGGAATCCGTCATGGTGGGAGGACTCCAATGATTCTTTAGAGTGTTATCTGCTGTTTGTATAGTAGTGATTTTGGCTTGGTGCTTATTGTGATAGTCATTCTAGTAATAAGCACATGGGAAGGCTTTGGTAGGTTGGAAAGACCTTAAGTTTTATAGTCATCACATACCATCAAACCTGTGTTAGTTGCTTGATCCTGTGGAATCTCAGGTTTCTGGACAGTACATTGGGATAATAGTACCTTTCTCTTGGTTGAATGGTTTACAGATAACATACCTAGAGAGCTTGGCCCAGGGTAGTTAGAGAAAAGTAGGTATTATTATTGCCTGTATTGTTCACTTCTTTTGCTTTTGGTACAAAGTGACTAATGAAGAAATTTTCCGATGTTGGTCACAGCCTAGGGAAGGACATATTTTAGAATCAGATGTTTCCTTTTGGGTAGTGTTCAATGTATGTACTCTGGGGACATTTGACACGGGACATTCTGTGAAGTCTGGTATGGTGTTTGCCTTTACAACGTCGACACATTATAAACAGTTTATTGTATTATGTGAGGATATCAGACAGGAGGGAAGGGGAAAAAAAATCCTTTCTTCTCAGCTGTAGCTAAGCTCAGGGATAATTTTGTTACCATGCAGAGCTTACAGGGTGTCCGTTAAGAAAATGTTATTTATTAAAGAATCCACATTGCTGCTTACACCTGTTTTTGCTGTTGTTCACAGTCATCTGTTAAATATGCTTCCCATATTTTAGTGGACAGTCCACTTCTGACTGGCTATGCTACTGCAGGAGTGAATTGGCAAGGGTCTTACAGTAGAATGAATCTTCCACAGATGGCCAGAACACTAAGGCTAGCACAAAATAGGTCCCCTCTCTACTCTGTGTGGCGAGCCTGTGCAGTATGGACCCCAAATCAGGTGTCCCGAAGGCAACCTGGAGAAACCGGATAGCTTGAAGTCTTCTGAAAGTTCTGGACGGAGACTGAGATAAATTGTAGAGAACTAAATTGTGGGTATATCACCTAGATAGGCTGCTTAGCATCACTGCTGGAAAACATGGCTTCTTTAGGAGCTCACACGTCTTTCTGGCTTACATTGAGTTCACCTGCTATTTTCTGAGCAGGACAGCTGAGCACCGGAGCACCTTGACCTTTTCAGAAATTATGATGTTTTCAAGCAGTCCCCGCAAGAGTAAGTAGCCCCGAGTCTCCATGGCGTGTGAATTCTTCATGATGGCCTCCCTAAACATGTACATTGATGATATTGTGCACTTCCATGTTTTTTTTTTTTTTTTTATTAAATGTTTTTATTTTGGATTGAGTGAAAGTTTACAGGACACATCATCAGCTTCACATTCAACCATTCATATAGCTTGTTTCATTACATTGATT